CTCAAAACAAAACAAAAAACTGAAGGAATAGAAGCAAATACTGTGGAATGATGATGCATGGAGGAGATTGTAATTAATCATTGCAATGAAACGATGAGTGTAAAACTGATGTTCTCCCATGTAAACTATCACTCAATTCACAACAAAAACTTTAAAAAAATGATCAAAAGTAGATTTAAGACACCCAACAAGTAAATGTAGAACGTGGACACTAGAGCAGCTAGTGGGTTCAGTGGGTTTGAACTACCTACTGACCGCAGGTAAGCAGTCCAGTGCTTAACCTACAGTGCCACACCAGGACTCCTATTTGAACATATCAACTGAAAAAGAAATGTCAAAGATAACCAAAGACATGTGATTTTTGGTTGAGCCTTAATAATACTGAGTTGTTAAATTTTTCGTGATAATAATGATGCTGTGGTGATATATGGAAATGTAAAATTTTGAGAGATGCGTATTATCTAGTACGTAGAAAGAAAATCATTTGATGTCTACGGTTTGCTACAAAACCTTTAAGAGAAAAAGCAAGAATTCAGGCAAATGTGTAAAAATCTTGATAACTACAGAACCCCATGACTACTATACAAGGGTTCTTTCTACGCAGGAATGTGTTGGAAAAGCTTTATAAATTCAAAATGTTACAATTAGGTGAAAAACATCAAAAATATTTCAAAACTCTGTTGTTGTTGCTATTAAGTGTGGTCGAGTCGGTTCTGACTCATAGTGATCTTGTACCTATAAATTGACATATTCACAGAAATCTGTTTTCAAATTCTTTTTTTTTAAATGTGAATTCTCCCCCCTTTGACATTATGCACCACACCCTGTGGACTGGTAAAGTTGGGCGTGTTGGGGGCAGGCGGTGGCAAGGGTGGGGGTGGGGGTAGAGAGGTGGAGCACATCACCTGACAGTCCTTCATTGCATTCTGAGTTGCAGCCTGGTCCCCAATTTGGTGGTGGTGTTGGAGTCGTTTCTCTTGGGCTTCAAACCACGTTGTCAGACACTGGACATTATTTTCATATTCTGACCAAGATTCCAATAATCCTTCCAAAAATTGGATCTGGACAAACACAGAGAAATGGCATTTGCAACTTTATTTGAAAATTAAATGACTCATTGGCTAATTATTCCAGCTACTGTTTTCTCTAAATTAAGTCAGTTGTTCCTTTAATTGTTAAGTATGTATCACAAGACGTTTGCCATTTTAACCATTTGAAAGTGTACAGTTAAATGATGTCATGCAGTATAACTATCACCACTATTCATTTCTGCTTGTTTTTCATCATCCCTTGTCAATTCTCTACTTCCCTCCTCCCCCAGTTCTGGGAACCAACCATGAATACAATTCTGTCTTTATGCATCTATCATTTTGTGTCTGGTTTACTTCACTGAGCACATGTTAAAGGGTCCTTCATGTTGTGTCCTGTGACCAAACTTCATTTCTCTTTACGGCTGAATAATATTCCACCGTGTGTGTGTATGTGTGGTTGTGGTTGTCAAGTGCCACTGAATGGCTCTGACTCACAGCAACCCTATACAAGGTTTCCAAGGAGCAGCTGGTGAATCTGAACTGCCAATCTTGCAGTTCAAACTACCCCTGAGACTGTATGTGTATTCCATATGTATATATATGGTGGTGGTGGCAGTCAGTTCTGGTTCATAGTGAGCCTGTATAGGGTTTCCTAGGCTGAAAATCTTTACAGGAGCAGAAAGCCTCATCTTTCTCCCGCAGAACAGCTGGTAGTTTCGAACTGCTGACCTTGAGGTTAGCAGCCCGAC